CAAATATGGAATATTTGAACATCTTTCAGCTTTAAGCATAGACTACAGCCAAGGACAAGATTTAGAAATTATGCCATTTAATATAATCCTATTTAACTTGATAGAGAAACAACTTGTACAACTAAAATCTTTCACCATACTTTCCCTGATATCAAAGGTATCATGTCTCTTGTGAGAGCAATGCAAGGAAATCAGATTCAGTTCTGTATCCTACCAATATTACCAGGAATTCCTCTTAAGCAGACACCAAGGTGGTAAATTCTTGAACTATCTATTAACTGTGAATGTTTGATAATCTATCAGATTACTGTATTGTTTGAGTAAGGTAAGGTACACAGGTAAGGGACAGAGTAGGTAGCACATAGTCTATTTTAAAAATGTTACCTTAATTTGACTTACTACTAAGTTAATTCTATCATCGACAAAGCTTAGCTGACAGTGACATTATTTATAGCAGGATCAGGATCTAAGTTGCTTTTTATTAATCTTTTATAATCCATCTTTCAGTCTGGTTTGCAGCAAACACTCTGGTTCTATAATATAAGCTCTGCCAAATACCTTCTATTTCACACAATGTGTACATTAACACTTGGACTTGCAGTGAAGTCCCAGACCTGAAATTCACAAAGGTTTTTACAGTCCCTTATGTGTGCTAATGTGCTAAAAAGAATTTAAGTTCTGCCAGATTCTACTACTATTGTAATAACCAGGTCAACAATTAATCCTTACATTTACAGTCTGTAAACTTGGTATTTTATACTAAGTAGAACAGTTATAAACCCTTGCAATAGGCGTGTGTGTTAACCTAATTCCTTTTACGCCACTGTTCTCTATTGTGTCCATCCAGCGGGCAAATCTCTATCACTGCATGAGACTTCACATTCTTAGAACATTAAAGATTTCTTCCAAACTCTGCTTAATTTATTCCCCCCTATTATCAACAAATACTCAGAACAATGATAAATTAACAAATGCTAGGAGGATTTCTTCTGAAAAGAAGCAGAATGCTCTACAGAGAAAAGCAACTTCTTAATCTTGCTGGCAGATGGAAACCCTACTGTTCACGACTGTACAAAACAAATCCGGGAAAGACATAATTGCTCCAGTGTGTTTTAGGTATAACCTCAGCAGTTATGTCATGGCTCTTTTAGTATGCTGCAACTGTGTCAGAATTAAGGGTTCTCTTTGGGGGAGATCAAGTAACTTGTGGCATGACAGTTGTAAAAACAAGTATGACAACTTTTTTCCTACATTTTATATCTGCTGCAGACACAAATTTTATAAACAATTGGGAGCTTTGGGGGTGGGTTGCTTTTAATGTTTTTGGGGTTTTTGTTTTTGGGGTTTTTTGGGGGTTTTTTGGTGTTTTTTGTTTGTTTGTTTTTGTTTTGGTTTTTTTTTTAGTAATCAAAACAAAAGGTAGCAGCAGGAAAATTTTTATATCAAAAATATTTTTTTCCGAATGTCATTTCAATTAGAGGTACTAGGGAAGAGATTATTTCAAGCCAAACACACAGAGTATTTGTGCCCCTATATACAGTTAAAGTTGTTAAGATATACACCAAACTGAAGTTGAAAAACTTCTTTCCTGCAGAGATAGGAGACATAGTTTCCTGCAGCTGAATAGTCCTTTCTCGGATCCATGTGAGGTCTCCTTCTAAATTCAGTGCAAAGATACACATTCTAGACAATTAACAACACATACCAGTCATTTTTTTTCTGGGTCTGATGTCTGCAGCTGAAGTTGAAATAATTATTTTACCTTAGAAACAATTAAGAAATCAAAAGTACATAGCAAAACAGACATATACATGCAGGTGTCTCTTGCACTATTCTGGGAAAATTGGACCACTTCACCTGCTGATCCTTGGGACTCACAAAAACTTCAGCTAGGACCATCAGCTGCACTTAGGGAAATCACCCTTTGATTTATTCATTTTTGCTAACTTTGGGAATAGCAATCTGAGAAATGCACATAGATTATCACACAAGACGATAGTTTTCAATCTTAGAAGTTAACTGATCAGTTAAAATCAAAAGTACTTTACATCACATCTTTCTGAGAAGAAATTCATATTTTCTAGTTTAAAACACCATTTTGTACAGGTTTAGACTAGCTGGATACGTTCAAGAGTTTTCATTCAACAAACAGATCCATATCTTCCTTACTAAGCAAATAAAAATAAATGGCAATGTTAAGTGTACATCCACAAAGAAAACTCTCTTGCCATCAGTAATTGGCCCAGTTCTGCATTCCTTCTGCACCTAGAAGTCCCACTACTTTCCAAGCCTGTGTGTGGGAAGCACAAGGAACCTTTATATTTCCTAAGATGACAGCAAGAAGTATCTATTTACTTTAGAAACAAATCTGCTCATCGCTTACACAGAAGGTCCAAAGTTTTCTATATATAGGTTCATAGCCTCATTTTCAGTAAGACTTCTTAAATCTTTTTTTTAACACAGATTAAGAGCAAGATTTCCATTTGCTTGGAAAATCTTATAAATAATAAAAAGCTTGAATTTTCATTTCTTGCCCGTGAAATTTAAATCAGCATCACAATAGTGCATTGATGTCAATCCCTTACAAAAATTTATAGTGTTGAAGCAATGCCATTTTGACTAAATGAGTTTATTCATTCCAAACACATTACTAACAGCTTTAGTATTAAAGGTGAGGAAGGGGAAAGGAAATCAAAGGATATCTTTAAAAATACTGAATTTTGTTTACTTTAGCCAAGTCCTAAAGCAAAAACATTTTCTGAAAAGAGCTACTTAAGAGCTGGTGGGCACTGAGCTGACCAAGTATGAGTCACTGCATTTCCCATGCAGTTGATTCTCACTTCTGTAACTTTTTCTGTGTAAAGAATTAACTCAAAAACCCAAACACTTCTTTGCACATTATTTCTTACAAGTATGAAAGACACCTCATACTACTCTATTTTTTTTGTTGTTAAATAAAAGAACTTCAAAAAAAGTCAAGAATTTTAGGAATCTGTTGAGGTTTTTCTACATGGAATGGTTTCTGTTGTCTTTAAAAAGTCACTGCTACATGATTAACACTTTGTTTGAATACACCATGTAATTTTCTTTTCAAAGAGATGGTTTATGAAAAGAACATTGAAGAACATTAGATTTAAAAGAGTTTAAAACAGCAACTAATATTTGCCCAGCATTCATATTTTATCCAGCATATTAATTTAGTCATATTGTTTACCTGCCATTTATGCTATTTTATTTAATTCCTTGGTATTTTCCCCCTCTAATTTTCAAATAGGCATCATTATGTCTTGTGTTATCTTTTAACTACTTTTAATAAGATTAGAATGCATAACAGATGATTCAGAAATAAGTCCCTTGTACTCTGTTAGAGAAATTAGGTCAAATTCTAGTCCCTCTGTGGTCAATGGAAAAACTCTGACTGACTTCAATAACAGATCAAGCCCTGAACACATAGCTCCCTGTAGTTCCTAAGCAAATAGCACACTGTATCTCAGAAAAGGTCAAGAACTAAGTTCTTTTCTGAATGTTTCTACAAAGAATAAGAAGCCTGCAGTTCTGTATTTCTGAAATGTCCTTTATCCAGAAGACTAGAAGACTATCAATACAGCCTTTTAGTTTTGAATAAAGTTACCACAACCAAATGCCTGCCTAATGTTGCTGAATACAAACCAGTAAGTATCAGTTCTGTTGATTTTAGTGTAAGTTCTGTTGATTTTTCCTGTGCTGTTTGGGTTTAGATTTTCTTTTAACTTGCCATTTCCATCCAACTTATTATGTAAACATAGTCTACATAACCCCTACTTAATTTAGTCCGTTCTACTGTGAAAAGTAGCATAAGAAATCGATCATGCCTTTGAGGACGTTATTTTTCTTGAAGAAGTTTAGTTTCCACATGGTAACCGAGTAGCCGAATTCTTGAAGCTCCGCGAGGTTAATTCACCCTGGTGTAACTCCAGCGAGTCCGTGGAATTGCAAGAGGGATGAAATCTGACCCTTCCAGTCCCGATCAGAAACCGGGCCAGCAGGGGGCAGGAGCCCTGATTGATCTGACACCGTCAAAGTTGTGCCCAGGTATAAAGGCTTGAATGGAACTGATCACCTTTCCCTGCTCCCTCTAGGACGCCTATTGATTCTGGATTCAGATCGAGAAATACCTCGTTAAAATAATAAATACATAAAAATGTAAACCTTTCATTTACTATAGTTAAGCCCCTTCATTGATGTCAGACCCATAGAAAAATAAAAACTTCAGTCCTAGCCAGACTGGCCTCCAGATGCGCCTGCGGGCTCCGGTGGGAGGGAGGAAGGAGAGAAGGAAGAGGCAGCGTTTTCAGCCCCGGTAGAAGAGGAGAACTCTCCCGCCCCGGAGCCTCCGCACTGCAGCTCGGCGAACTGCGAGCACAGCCCAGAAAAGCCAGCTGGGCTGGCGGCGGTGCGGGGAGCCCAGGGAGAGCGGTGCGGACGGGAGAAGTGCGCAGAACGCGAGGGGCGGTGCGGGGGAGGGGGCGGCGATTCCTTTCTGCTGAGGCTGCTGCCGGGCTCGTGTTCCCCCTGCAAGTCCCCCGCGGGCCGCACCCTGCCCACCAGGTCCACGGACCCCTAAGGGACCACTCGATACCCCGGGCAGGCTGCTGAGTTGGGAGGGGGCTGGGGACGGTGCCCCAGCGCTGACACCGCCCGCGGGGAGCCCAGCGATCCTGGGGCTGAGCCCCCCCGAGCACCCCCAGGCATCTCGGGGCCCGGCACCGCTCGCACCACCTGCGGGGCGCCGCTGTCCCGGGAGCTGCCCTCCGCAACGCTGGCAAAGGGCCCCTGCAAGTGTATTTTCTCCTCCGCTTGCGCCCTAGAAAACTTTTTGACCTACTAAAACCCATTGCAAAAGAAAAAATAAAAGCGAGGAAAACTAAGAAAATAAGAGTAGAGAACCACCACCCCCAACTTTCCCTTTCCTTGCACCTCTGAGGAGAAGGCAGATACTTGTAGGTCAATTTCAATCACAATCTGGTGAATATCAGCAACTCAACAAAACAAAGTTGGACGCACACTCCACAAAACAAGAGTCCAGTGCTGGAAGATGGTAAGTCTCTCTGTGCAACAAGTATTTCTTTCATTTTCCCACCCTGCCAGTACACCTCCTTTACCTCATTAAAAACTCATCCAAAGTTTAAGGCTGACCGAGAGCCGTCCCTCCGCGACACCTGGGAGAGACGCCCCAGCCCGCGCCGCCGGGGGCTCCGCGGGTGTCCGCGCCCGGAGCCGGCTGCGAGAGCGCTCTCGCCTCCACAGCACCGGGAGTCGCTGACAGGCTTCCTCTGAAACGCGGCCTCAGCCGTGCCCAGGGTCCTTTCCCCGAGCAGGGGAGAGAGGCGACAGGACTCCCGGCTCCCCTTTGCTTTCTTACCTCCTCTGACCTCTGCAGCCCGGAGAAGGAAAGCGAAGGTGATGAGCACGGTTACAGCCGAGTCCCAGGGCCACCTTCTCGTTTTCCACCTTGTGGACCATCTCTGCATCTCCATGCTGGGCACCCACAAGTGTGAATTAAACTCGGGCGCCTTTAGTTTATACCTGCTCCGTCCTTTCCACTATATTCCCAGAGATGACTTCTCCTATAGAGCCATTCGTGATAAACGGAGAGGTTTTCTCTCTCGCCCCGCTCCCGCTCTGCCCGGCCTTGCACAGGCCCCTCCGACCCGTCCTCCCCGGTGCCCTGCCTTCAGACTGAGGGGAGATGAGGGGCTTTAATCAAAATGCAGAGAGCTCCGCATCCCCCTAAAGGCTTCATCCCGTCAGAGGGCTGGGCGAGCGGCTCCCAGGGCCACCCCTGGAGCCCGACTGACACGCCAGCCGCCGGGCGGAGGCCAATCGCGGGGCTCCCCGGAGCCCACAGCACCGCCCTCCGCCTCGGCAGCGGCACACCGGCCGCTCCGCGGGCACCGCCGGCCCCGCGGCGGCGGGAGCGGCGCTGCCGAAGGCGCTGTGGGGACGCAGAGGGCGCGGCGGGAGCGGGCCGGGACAGCGCTGGGGTGTCCCGTCAGCGGGTCACCGCCGCCCCCCGCCCGCGCCGCGCCGCGCCGCGCCGCTCCGCGCGGGCCCCCTCGCCCCGGGCATGCGCAGAGGCGGCCGCGGCGCCCGCGGAGCGAGGGCGGGGGCGAGGAGCGGGGACGCGTGGGGGCCGTGGGGGACGGGCAGGGGGGCGACACTGGGGACAAGCGGGGGAGGGGGACGCCGGCAGGGGAGGGAGCGAGGCAGGGCGAGACTGAGCACAGGAATGTGCGGGAGAGGGGCCGGGGCGATGAGGTGAAGTGTCTGTGGGGTGGCCCTTCGGACTCCCCGAAACCGCCGGCTGCCGTTGGTGCGGCGGCAGGTCCAGGCCCGCGGCCCGTTGCCCCTCGCAGCCCTCCCAGGCGCAGCTTGTTCTCACCCGCCTTGGAGGGACCGCCGGGGGCTTCGCTCTAAGGCGGCTGTAAGAAAGGAGGGAGCGGGGTGGTGAAGGAAAAGCCCGCCACCGAACATTGCCATTCCCCGCCTCACCACATCCTGCAGCCCGGGGAGCCAGGTGTCCGCTCCTCGCCGGGAGACCTCCCGCTCGCACTCCCGTCCTGTCCCGCCTGAGCCGCAGTGGTGACAGGGACGGGTCCATAGGCTGAAACCTTTGGCAGAGCTTGTGCAGCAGCTCCAGCCGAAACCCTCGGCTGGGATCAGGTTCTGCCCCGGCTTCTCTGCAAAATGAGACAAAACTATGGTCACGTTTTGGTGGAAATGTATATATTTTTTTTAAAAATCTACGTTCGCTGAGATCTTTAATGCTTTACAGCAATTACTAAATACATGATTTTCAATAAAATACATGTTTCTATGTCAAATTATACTTCAGAAAATTCTTATCCTTCATAAAACATCTTACATTTTGCTGCACTCCATGAACATACCTAGCTCTTTCTGTCCTTGGTTTCCTGAAACACTTGATATCATTGTCACTAGATTTGCATCTGAGGGGACTGAGGTGCACAGCACGGCTATGTCTGAGCTCTCTTAAGTGCTGTGCTTTGGGTGTCATTCAGTGAAGAGATATCGAGTTTATTCTGGTACTTCAGGTAATCACCCACAGTACAGCTGTGGAGCACCAAAATGCTCTATGTACCGACTTTTCTGTGCCACAACTTACACACAGACTCATTCAAGTTGGAAAAGACCTCTAAGATCATCAACCGTTTAAACCAATAGCACCATGTGCAGCACTGAACCCTCTCCCCAGTGATCGTGAGACTACCCCCAGCTGCTTATGGAATATTTCATCCTGTTTTACAATTATCTCTCCTACATCTTAACTGCACACACGTTCCCAAAAGTCAGTACTATTATTTCTCTGCTGGTCTGTGTAGTTCTCAGTCACTTACTAGATGCTTTGTAGAACACACCAGATTAACTTGCTGTTTCAGCCTATTTCCTTAAAATATCAGTAGGTAGTCCCAATGGCAATTTATTATTTTTACTCAATATTCTGTCGTGGGAAAATCTCATCTCCTATAAAGTTTCAAGTTTCCCCTTCATACTTATACATCTTTGTCGCCACCATTCTTGCTGTCTGCAGTCTCTTATCAAACATTGCTTCTCTGACTTTGTTTTGAGCCTTTCCTGTTTACCTGAATGAATACAGCTAAACTCTTCCCTAGTAAAAAGGAAAAAGTCTGTAATTTCCCAGGAGAAGAAATGGAAGCATTTCAGATAGTGGTGAAAAAGAACAAGTATAGAGAATAGTAATTTCACACAGTGCCTTTACAGTTATTTAAGTTTAGGGGAGGTGGTTATCTTCCAAACTGTCAGTGGAAAGATAGCCACTGATTTTCATGGTCCTCAATCCAAAGTAGAACAAAGAGAACAAAATACTGAGTATTAATCCTGGTGAGGTAGCATACTTATATTAATATAAAAATCTGTACAATTCTATATGAATTCTGGTACCTGGACCACTTTAATTTAGAGCTAGCTCAGTTAATTTTGCATGCCAGCATGTCAAGCCACACAGGCATGTAATAAATTGCCATCTGATTCAGCAGTTACAAGAGAAAAGTTACATGTCATTTAGGTGAAGATCCACATTTTTTAGCCTGTCAAATTATTTAATTAATGATTTATTTACATTTAATTGATTTACATTTAGCTTATTTTCCTAGTTATTGTTCATAATCTTCTAAATTGTAATGATGGTGTTCTAGTGAAGTGCAGAGTGAAGTAATTGCAGCCATGAAAATATGTTGAAAAATAGATAATGATTCAAAGCATACATAAGCTTTATGAATGCCATAAAATTAAAGATTTTTGTTAGAAATTTTCAGCTCTTAGATGTAATTTTAGGAGAAATATTTTCTTTCTTGAATCTGAAAGAAGGCTAAAATGTGAAAATGTTTTCAGATGGAAACAGAAGAGAAGTGAATGATGTTATGTATTAAATCATCTGTGATCCACAGTGGTTTGTTCTTTGTCGGCTTTTTTGTTCCTCATTACTGTTTAAGACAGTTTTAGTGAAAAGAAAGACTAAGCACTGTGACATTCATTATGTTCTGTCCCTGATACAACTACGTTGGCAGATTAATCCATGTTTAAATATTAGGAATTGCTCTCTTGCATGTGCACAGATGGGTCATTGTTGTATTTTGGGGCAGAGAGGGGGAGGGGTTAGAAACTATGAAGAAGAGAATATGTTTCCTTGGACCACTGTAGGTCACGAGAAACTCACAGCAGCAGCTCTTTCCCATTCTTCAGGCTATAGGCACCACAATGAAATATAACTGCAAATATGGTGTTCTTTGGCTCTCTTGCAATCACACTGTATTTTTCTAACATATTCCTTGACATCGCCAAAAGTGATGGACTTCTCTCGCTATATAAAGGGGTAATTTCACTGGGAATAAACAATGCACTGTAAAGAAGACTATACTTTTATTGTTGGTTCCCCTGTATCTCAGGGATGTTGACTTGACCTTCTTTTTTTACAGTTTCATGCAGATGTTGATACCCTCTCCATTTCTATTCACAGCACATAAGTGAATATTGCAAAATAAATGTCTGCCTTAAAAGTCATCATCCACTCTGTTGCTTTAATTCTTTTAGTTTAACTAGGTGGGTATTTTATCACTGTCTCATTTCTGGTGAAAATCTATGTTTGCTGAGAGTTTTCTGTTCAGGGATTATTTTTAGGAAGAAGAGTGAGTTATACTGCTTCAGAGAAGTGACCCTTGTAAAAAAAGTTGTTTCACTGATGGAGATGAGTGGAATGATTTCTGCTAGATGAATTACTAATCAGCTACTTTTTGTAGTTTTAAAGGGAGAGAAATATATAAACACATGCATATACACAAAATAATCATAGCATTACTTATCATGATTCTGTCTTCAAGAAGGGTAATACAACTTTTGGTAATGTGAATAATAGCTTACAGCTTCACTGAACTCCCCCAGTTCCATTATCTACGGTATTGAAGGATGAATCCAAGACCTTCTCTGACCCTCAGCAAAATGCTTTGGTCTAGGGAACTACTGTGCTTGTAGGCACACAGTTTGTGGTAGTTGGGAGTGGAGCTGTGGGAGCCTCATCCCCAGTGGGCTCAGCTGTGAGCAGCAGGTGAGCAGCACTGACAGCAATGAGCCAGGGAGTGCCCAGGGGCACTGAGCAGCCACCAAAGGGAACAGAGGCACACAAGTGCAATGCATGAACATGAGGGTTATAAAATGTATGTATGGGCAAATGCTTAAAGCCTTCTGATACTCTATGGTGATACTCTGTTTATTGTGGCTGTCTTGAGTGTGGCATGTGCCCTTTGATTTTTTTTTTTTTTTTCTTTTTGGTTCCCAAGAATTAGGGAGGAAAAAGGATAGTAAAAGAAATTAATTGCAAAACAGCATAGTTTAATACTTGTTAGCTCAGGTACCACAAGACTACAGAAATATTGGCATTACTGTTTTTTTTCCTTATGGAGAATGTATTGGGAATGACATAAGCAAAACTGGAGTGAAGCTGCACTGTGCAACCTACATAGATCCAAAAGCACCTCTGTGATGTGGCCAGAAATTGTATGT